GATATTCTAGTAATTAATCTTTCGCTAATAAGTCAGCCGTAATTATGCTGAATTTATTGTTAATCCAGCTAGTTACAACTGATTAAATATAACTCAGCCGTAACAACCTCTCATAAGTCAGCCGTAAATTTAATAACTCTGCCAGGCATATCGTCAAATAAACCAGCCGTCAAACAAATGATATTCTAGTAATTAATCTTTTGCTAATAAGTCAGTCGTAATTATGCTGAGTTTACTGTTAATCCAGCCAGTTACAGCTGATTAAATATAACTCATCCATAACAACCTCTCATAAGTTAGCCGTAAATTTAATAACTCTGCCAGGCGATGTTCATTAACCCAGCCGGCAAAACATAACTCAGCCATGTCTTAACTACAACTCTGCCGAATTTTCCAGAAATCACACCGCCGATGTATGAATCAGCTGTACCTTGTGTACGTAGGTCAGCCGTTATCCCATAAATCAGCCATATTTATGTAAGTCAGCCATCACTAACGGCTGACTTCTATTCTTAAGTCAGCCAATTTCTCTTAAGTCAACCACATTGTTTAACTCAGTCACAGCGTAACAATAAACCAGCCGTAACGACATCTGTAGCGCTTTACGGCTGACTTAATGAAAACACGGCAGCGATTTCCTACGTGGCGCCGGATTTTTTCTTATTGGGCATTAAAAAGTAATGGTATTTTTGTATATACATTTTTTCTCATAACATAATAAAAGGACACGCTTGGTATTTAAAAAATGACAGTAATAAAAAAAAAATTGTAGGGTTCTAATTGATTGTCCTAAAATATATACTATTTGAATAAACTTTCCAAAACAAAAAAATATGAAAAGAAGCTATAAAAGACCTGCTATTAATGTCGGCTTATCTGTTAGTCGCGTCGGGTCTGCCGCTCAGTTGAAAGCTATGAAACAAGTATGCGGTAGTTCAAAACTGGAATTGGCACAATATCGCGAAGTGGCCGCCTTTGCTCAATTTGGCTCAGACCTTGATGCTGCGACTCAGGCATTACTCAATAGAGGTGCAAGGCTGACAGAAGTACCGAAACAACCACAATATGCACCACTTCTTTTAAGAAAGCATCTGGTTCCATTTTTCTTTCGTTAGTTAATCCACCTTTAAGGGCTTGTAGTAATTCAGGTTTGACACTATTTGGAATGGCTTTCTCATATTGAGAGATTCTGTCTAGTGGCATTCGATCACAGAATCCATTGACAGCTGCATAAATGACTAGTATTTGTTTTTCAATTGGAAGTGGTGCATATTGTGGTTGTTTCGGTACTTCTGTCAGCCTTTCACCTCTATTGAGTAATGCCTGAGTCGCAGCATCAAGGTCTGAGCCAAATTGAGCAAAGGCGGCCACTTCGCGATATTGTGCCAATTCCAGTTTTGAACTACCGCATACTTGTTTCATAGCTTTCAACTGAGCGGCAGACCCGACGCGACTGACAGATAAGCCGACGTTAATAGCAGGTCTAATTCCGCGATAAAAAGAACATAAGAGGTTGTTAAAGAAGAGACTCGCACTTTGTTTTTGGAAACTTTTTCTACAGGTGTCATGTTCTAGATGAGACAAAAAAATTTACACCATTCAATTTTAATCATCTGTTAACATATTAATATATGTATGCTCAGAGACGTAGGTAAAGAAACTTATCGCTGCAAATTCTCTTAGAGCATGATTAATCTCAGTCTCTTATTTGGGGTTCTTAATTCATGATTTAACTTTTTTTTCATTTTTTTTAAAACATTTTTCAGTTAAAAAAGTTTTCTTCTATCTTTTATTTAAAAACCAAAAAAGTCAAAAACTGTCTCTTAGCCGAAGTTAAGAATTTCAGTTAAGAGATCAAAGTTAATCATAACTTTAGTTTCTTGAGTCGTAGTGTGATGTTTAGTTTCTTTGCCTTGTTCAATGTGTTCGAAAACGGTTTGGATTTTAGCTGCTTATTCTTTAGGTTCTTGTCTTTGGGGATATCTTGTATCCGCCAGCTTATCCCCTTTATATTAAAAGAGAATCATTCAAAAAGTTGTAACCTTAAGTTTGTAATAATTAAAAATAACCCCAATCCTATATGGCATAACTCTTTGTCTTATATTTCAATTTAGAAGGATTTTAGAGCTTCAAACTTAAAGTATAGTCTAAAATTTATACTCTATAGCAATATAATATTTCGTAGACTCGCATATATCAAATATTTATTATATTGCGGGCTTTCCTTAAATAAAACATACGGAATTACCTAATGTGATTAAAAAATATATATGGCGATTAATGATTTTAAAAGATAAAGATTTGATAAAAATATGTATACCTTTTATCATTTTGTTTATTTCTTTATTATTAAAATAAATTACACAAACATTAAGCATATAATAAAAATCTAGATTTTTTTTGTGTATGTTGTATTGTGAATTTTCCAAAACGAGTATAAATTACTAAAACTGTTAAAAGTCTCACATAAAATTTTAGGATCAAAGTTTTAATTTTTTTCTATATTAAAATATATTGATTATAAAACCATATGAAGAAATAATTTTATTTTAATAGTTTTTATGTTAATATATATATATTTCATATCATTTAACTTAAACTATACATCGTATGAAATACATACTTATATTTTGATATTTGCATTGAACATATATTGAAAATTTAATATTTTTATTTTGAAATATGTCATTGTTTTTTCAAAATGATTATAAATTATTGAAACTACTAACATCTCACATTAAAATAAATTCGTTGGTGTAAAGTTCTGTTATACAAATATGCAAATAATCACAAAATCATATGAGTAGAAACCTCATTTAATAACTATCCATATTAAAAATGTGCTATATTACTATGTTTATATCATTTAAATTTAATTGTCTATCATATACGATATATAAGATTAATTGTTTTGATGTATTTACCCTAATTGCAAATAAACAAGAGTGATAGTTAAATTTATACGCATACGTCAATTTATTACATAATAGTAACTCATTTCTCAGTTATTTAATATATATACATATATATATATATTATTTTATTATTTTATAATATGTAGAAAAATAGAAAATAAATATAAATACTTATTATGCATAAAGTGCAGATTTTAATCTAAGTATGTATCTCTTTAGTTATTTTAAATCTTAAGTATTTTGTTAATCCCATGTCAAAACAAACAAACGAAATCAGAATAAACTTCAAAATCAATATTTATATCGAGTAATAACCAAAATAAAAAAAAACAACAAAAGAAAAGTTGAAGATAATTAGGATTGACACGTGAATGTAAACTTCTCATAACCATAATTAATTTTTAAATTGTTATATCATGATATAAAACTGAGTTAATTTTAATTTGTTAATTTTTTAAATTTTTAAAGTTTTAATTTTTTAAATCATTATGGTTATGTTAAATCATGACCATAATTAATTTTAAATTGTTAATTTTTTATTTGAAAAACTTAAAATATATTTTTTTTAAATACTTTTATTTTTAACGATAATTTAAAATTTACCTTAATTTTCTGTAAAATTATTTTTAAAAAAAATATAATTTGTAAAAAATATAATTTTCTAATATTATTAGACAAATAAATACATTATATTAAATTAGTTTTGAAACTGTATATATTCTAAATGCAAATATTCTACCAACTACTTCTTAAGAAAACATTTGGGAACTTGCTAAATACTCTACCAATCAAACCCAATGACACTCCATTTATTTTTCATCACTCGAACACTAAAAAGTGAAAAAATATATGAAATCGGGTCCATTAATTTCTAAGATTTGATCTACAGTTCTAATTACAATTGTTTATGATCTTAGGTATAGATAATTATATAAAAAAACCAAAATTCTAAAATTTCAAATACAGATAAAAACAATCATATGTAAATTTTAAATTTGCCAATACTAAAATTTTATATTTTAGTTACATATATTCACCCTTTGCAAGACACATGTTTTATCCTAGTTATATATTAAACCTAGCGATGCCAATTATGGATCTGGACCGCGGGCCTAGCCCGTAAAGAACTGTCGCGAGACGGTATTGGGACGAGATTTTCTAGGCCCGCAAATTTACGGGCCTTGCGGAATGGGTCTTTGCGGGACTGGGTCTTTTGCGGGATGGGTCGAAACGGGTTCCGCAGGATTACAAGGGCCCCCTTTTTTTCTTTATTTTTTGTTTTACCTGAAAAAATCGAGAGAATGAGTGAGAAGAGGACGATTCATGTGATTTCCCTTGAGAAAACGTAAGGAGCTCGGGCGATGATGATGATTTGAGCTTCGGTGATAATGATTCGAGCTCCGGTGATGACGACTACAGCTCCAGCGATGACGATTCGAGCTTTAGTAGTGTTTTGATTTAGTTTCTTTTTTATTTAATTTAGGATTGACAATTTTTGATTTAGTGTTTCATTTTATTTAATTTTTGGATTCAGCAAACTAAAACATTGGTTATGAACTTATGAGTTATAAGATAATGAAAAAATATTTTCTACAATTATTTTTACTTTGTATGTTAATATGTTTTGGGTGTGATACAAATAATTACAATTATTGTTTTGAATAAACAAATAAGCAAATCAATAATTGATGAATTATGTTCAGTTGAATCGACCACTTGAACTATGTCTTAAAATGGTCTAAAGCGTTTCGGAGGGGCCTGAATCGTTCAGTTGCGCATATTATTACATGTCTCGTGGTACGGCCTGCAAAGGCCTACAAGAAATGCGATACGAGATTGGGCCACTGTTTTCAAGACCACATTCCGCGTGGAACAAGCCCGCCACGTCCCGCACGAAGACAAACCCGCGGCGGTCCACAACGGGACGGGAGAGCCTAATTGCCATCTCTAGTGATTTTGTGAAAAAAAAGGTTCGTAGATTTCCTTTTTTTTTTTTATTAATACAAATAACGACGGTTTGATGGCCAAGTTAATAAAGTTTGGTTTGCCGGTCAAGTAAATATCAAAGACGAAAAACGGAAACCTTTCTGCTGGAAAAGAGGCTTCGGTTTTAACCCTAAAAGAATTATCCAGAGTTTTTGTGTAAAATGCTGAAGAACTCTGCACTCTTAGAGAGAAAGATCAATTATTTGATCAAGTAGCTTTTCGATGGGTTTTCACGTTCTTAAGTCTCCCATAACCTTGCGCTCTTACAGCAGTTCCCTCCTCGGCTTCTTCTCTAAATCTCACGATCGTCTTCTCTCTGGTATTTTCTTATTTGTGGGTTTCTTGGTTGAGTCATTTCCACAAAGACTTAGACTGCATTGACACTTTGATTGATTCGATTTCTGCAAAACACTTAAGGGGAACACAATCGAATTAATTTTAAAACCAAAACTTACAGTCCCAATAGTCAAATTCTAGAGGAAAGATAACAGTATTTTTTTTTTTTTTTAGCGGAATGTTGAAAGCCTTGATTTTTGTTTCACTCTTAGCTTTATTAAAGATACTGTGTTCTTACTTCTTGTTATTTTATATCCAGCGAGATGGGTTAGAGCCGGAGAAGCCAGTTCCATCAGATGTCTTGCTTCTGCTATACGTGGAAAGAAGTAAGGGTCCTTTTGCTCTAGTACCGAAATCAAGAAGCTTTCAACTTTTTATTTTTTAATTAATTTGAATGAAACTCTTATTGTTCTAACAGCAAGAAACAGAGACTTGACGAGGCATGCCTTGAAAGGTATCAGGAATACAGTCGCACACTGATACAATCATGGATTTTACAAGGTACATACATATAAAAGCACATAGAGGTTTATGTGATTCTTCTTGGAAAAAAAAAAGAATTTTCTTGTAGCTTAAACTCTAGTGTGTATGATATTTAGGCAAAGTGCTAGTGGATGGGAAAAGAGCTAGTAAAGCTGGAATGCCTGTAGCCAATGGTGTTTCCATAAAGATTACAGCTGAGGTTCCCAAATATGTATGTAGGTGATTATTCCTCTCCATGTTACCCTATCTTTTAATACGGTTTCTTAGTGCTTCTAGACCTTGTTTTTGTCGACTGTCCTCCCTCTGTTTTCTTCAAAACTTGCAGAGGTGGGCTTAAGCTGGAAGCTGCTATAGAGAAGCTAGATGTTGATGTTTCTGAGAAAGTGGTTCTTGATTCTGGACTTTCTACTGGAGGGTTTACAGATTGTTTGCTTCGTTATGGTGCAGCTCATGTGTATGGTGTTGATGTTGGTTATGGTCAGGTGCTAAGCATTGTTCTAAACAGATTGTTTGAATTTTTGCTTCTCCTGCAATCAAAGTCGTCTAGTTAGTTAATTATATGGGGGTTTGTAACAGGTGGCTGATAAAATCCGCAATGATAAGCGTGCGACTGTCATAGAAAGGACAAATCTGAGATACCTCCCAGGACTCCCCCAAAAAGTCGATGTAGTGACACTGGATCTCTCTTTTATTTCCATTCTCAAGGTAAAGTTGCTTCCTTTCATTTTGTTTGCAGAAACCATGATTCTTCTTATATGCCGAAAAGTTTTGAAACTGGTAAACAGGTGATGCCAGCTGTTATGAATGTGATGAATGAAGATGCAACTTTAGTTACCCTTATTAAACCTCAATTTGAAGCTCGACGATCACAGGTAATCCAATCAATGGACTTTAAGATGCCAGATTTTTGATACAGTATACTCTGAGAAGAGCATACTATACACAAATCATCTCTGCAATTTGTAACAATTTGTTCTTCAACATATTTTCTTTTCCTTTTAGGTTGGGAGGGGTGGTATAGTGAGAGATCCTGAAGTGCATCAGGAGGTATGTTTGTATTTCCCTGTACACTTTTGTAACAACTGAATATTTGTTTTTGCTCTGCTGGATTCATTCTGTTTCTAACTTGGTACAGTGTTAAAGCCTTGATCTTATATAGAAAGTCTTATACGTGGTAGTTACTATTCTTTTGATGTCTTGTTTATGTATGGTGTGTAGGTTCTTGAGAAGATAATAAACGGTATTGAGCGCTATGGATTCACCAACAAAGGGTTTATTGAATCTCCTATCAAGGGAGCCGATGGAAACATAGAGTTCTTGGCGCGCTTTGACCGAGGGACAGTGAAAGGCGAAGAAGAAGAATACTAAGACTTATATTTCCATGAAACGCTACTTATTGTTTCCATGGTTTAACACATTTTACAACTGTTTTGTCTTGGTGATATCATAAATCTCAAAGATAATTACCAAACGAATCTAAGGTCTCACGAAGAGTATATATGGGGTTTACACATGAACGGACTTCCTTTGAAAGTTGAACTTATCATACAATGCAATATAAAAAGAGTAGAGAGCACAAAGGATTTTATAATAATAAGTCACTTTGAGCCTACGGATTCAGTCTGCAGTAAAGGAGCGACGCAGCTGAATTTTGAAAAGGTTTGCTTTTACAGACTGCTCTTAAGATCTAAAACATCTCTTTCAACAGATAATAAGTCTTCTACCTAGAGAAGCTTTCTCATCATAATGATTCAATAGTCTTTGTAATGTCAATAGGTCTTTGCCATTGCAAAATTGAGGCAAACATTAAAGTAGAAGAGAAAAGAACATTCGCGAAAGCAGAGGGAATACCGAGAATGTGAATATGCATTCCACATTAAGCTATGTTGTTGAAAATAATGAAAGAACGACTTCTTGGAATAATATATTACCTATTTTGATGAATGGAAGAAAGAGTTTGAACGTTCTATGTAGTCAGAGTGATGAGGCAGTACTAGAGCTACACATAGAGTTATGCCAAGGGAAAATATTTGGATGCGAAGGTGTTGTTGATAAAAACCATGTCTGAACAACTGAACAACTGGTGGGCATATGAAAATAGCATAAGTGAAAGACTCATCAGGTTTCCCACATTTTGAACAATGGTTATCAAGCATCACATATGACAACGTATCAGATTCCTTGTTACAGCTACATGTACCAGCTATTATATAAAGATGTTACTTCTACAGAGGAGCATTTATTTTCGAAACAAAGGCATGAAGTGTTGGAGATGGACTTAGCATAGGTCCACTAAGATGTAAGTCCAAAATCAGGCATGCCCCTTTAAGCAACAAATGGTGACTTTACTAGAAAACAAAATGTACTTTACTATTAATAGAAGATGTCAGACTCATTAAAAGGAGGATCAGAAAAGTACAAAAACGTACAAAAAAAGAAGAGCATCGTCTTTTCTATCACCACCAAAATCTTACACGACCTCGTCCTAGATGACCAGAGATCAAAATTAGAGAAATACTTATTTAGACATTTTGTATAGAAAAGCATCTCCAGTTCTTGTAATCAACCGAGTTTGTTTATTCTTGATTATTAATACAAACTTCTCCAATCCTTTACATACTTATTATATTATCCTGTGGGACTGGAGATTCTTCATACTTCAAGACATCTCGGCGATCACAGAATCCGAAACGCAACTTGGCGTCTTGATTTCCGCAGTCACTAACGATCTAGGAACGAAGAGCATATCGACGACGACCTGAGGCCAACCAGGTAGCAACGTGAAGTTAATGGCAACGACCTCGGACCAACCAACCAGCAACACGGCGACCTCGGACAATCCAGCCAGTAACACGATGTTAGAAACAATGACCTTGGCCAACCAGCCAGCAATGCCATATCCGCGATGACCTCGGGCCAACCATGAAGGAATGCTACGCCTCTGTCAACAACCCATACAACCTGCCAGCAACCCCATGCCTGTAATGACGACTTCGGGCCAACTAGCCAGCAACGCCGCGTTCAAGATGACTTCAGGCCAACCATCCAGGAACGTTATACCTCAGTCGACAACCTCGGACCAGCCAGCCAGCAACATCATGCTTGCAACGACGACCTTGGTACAACCAAGTAACAGGGAAATCTACGCAAATATCATGACTTCTATGCAACCAGCCAACATAACGACTCTGGTGGCAGCCTCAGCTCCATCACAACCACCTAGCACAACGCACTCAAGCAAGCCGGACATCTCTCTGATTTTCCAAACTATCTTTGGCAGAATCGACGAGCTAGCAAGAGGAACCGCTACCCGCCTAGATGACCTCGCGCTCTCCCATATCGCTTGCAACAACCGCATCAACGAGCTCAAGTCCGTTGAAATCGACACATCTGGATCACGACAAGTTGATACCACCCACGAATCCTACGAGTTATCTTTGACAATCAACCAACACCTATCACCGAGCACGTAGAGCAGCAGCCAATATGAGTCAATGATTTACTAAGGCACCATAACGCAGTCCAACTAGACGATCAGCATGCCCCAAACTGTCTACAGATTATCGGCAGGGAGATAGAACACATAGATAAGGAGATCGAAAATATGAAGGCTCAGTTGCAATGCATGACCTCAAAAGTCCATCAGACAATTAGTGCAACACCAGAGATCGACCGTGTACTCTGCAAAACCCAGAATACACCTTTCTCATCTCGTCTTCTCAGCACCCAGTTCCGACATCCAGAGAAAACCAAACTCCTTACCTACAACGAAACGTCTGATCCAAGAGAACACCTCATCGCCTTCAGCATCACAATGGGAAGGGTGAACGTTTTACCAGAAGAACGTGACGCAGGTCTCTACCAGCTGTTCGTCAAAAACTTGAGTGGACTCGTGATATCATATAAATTAGGGTTTAGATATCTTTAAGTCCATATTGAATTCATATGTCCTTATTAGGTGTTGGAGTGTGCCATGGAGTGATTGGAGGTGTTGGGGAGCATTGTGATCCATAAGGGGGTGAAAGATGAACATAATTGGAGGCCTTAAAGATGTTTTATGTTGCTAAAATTCTGGAAAGACATAGGTAATTGAGTAAGCTTTCCAATGGAAGTGGTCTCAGGTCAATCAGAGTTGTATGCTAGGAGTTATTGTTAATCTACTGGACATATATCAGTACTCAGGCAAGCCCAGTGGCCAGCTCTGCCCGCCCATCGACCACAGTTCCCATCGCCCAACCTTGCGTGGCCCTGGCGGCCAGGCCCAGCGGCCAGGCCCAGCGGCCAGGCCCAGCGGCCAAAACTTTTCTGGTTGACCTGGATTTGTCGGGTTGACCCGGTTCGACCTAACTAGCTTATAAATACTGTTTAGATCTAATTTTTACATCTATCTTCTTTTCTCTCTAAGAACACATTGAAACCTTGAAGAAAGATTGAATCTTTAGTTTCTTTTCTTCTTATTTGTTTGTGATTGTTTGATTAAACTTGCTTATCAACATGATTTCTCTTAAATCAACCATGGATTTAAGGTTAATCATGAAAATTAGTGAGTAGACTCCTTTTGGATTCATGGGATAGAGTGATTAAGGGTGATTAGAGAAGATCTAGGATGTTCAGTGTTAGATTTACTTGTTTCCTTGCTTGTTGAGGGTTCTCAATGCCATATTAGTCTTGATCATACTAAAGTGGATTTCTAGGCATTTCCTGCCCACAAGGTGTATGATGAAATGCCTGAACCAACTCTTCAATCCTTTTAACTTGCTTTACCTAGGAGATTAGTTTCTAAAGAAGTTAAGATTGCCATTAGACTTGTTCTCCATGTTTGCTTTAGTAACATTCAACCTAAGAGATTATATGCTTGAGTTGCTTTAGTAAAAGAACATTCATCTAGAGATAGAGCTTGTTTAGGATTGTGTCTAGGCATAAGGAAAGTGTATGATTGCTAGCTTGCCATCTTTAGATTGGATCTACATCACCCAAGATCAAATTTCTAGTCCCATGAGTCCTCTTGCTTCATTTTGAGAAAGAAAGATCTTCCCTTTATTGCATTTTAGTAGTATTCTAGTTCAATATCATCTCACCTATTGGTTGCACTTAGATTGAGCATGGTCTTGCATTCCCTTTGCTTTAGGATCACTTAGAACTGATTCGACATCTTATACTACATCATTTGATTAGGAGCTTTGAAAACTCCTAATATCAAATTGGCGCCGTTGCCAAATTCTAAGTTAATTTTGACATTGGGATTTAGTCACTTGTTTGAGACTAAGTCATTTTTCTTTTATTTTGTTACTAATTCTCCTTCTTCCTCTCACTTTGCATTTCAGGTGTATGAACTTGAGGAGAAGAGTTTCATCAAGCCTAGTCCTAAGAGTTGAAGATATAGCTGCACTTGAGAGAGAGATATTAAGAAAGAGAAGAGAGGAATAGAAACAGGCTCACATACAGAGATTGAGGTTTGAAATGCAGAACAATCAGAATCAGCCTCATGATGGCGTGGCTCAAGGAGTTGCAAACCTTAGGCCACAGCATCCACAGCGCCAAGCTAGAGCCATTGGAGTCTATGATCAACCTCACATTCATGGTCATAGGTTGCGTATCAGAGCACCAGCTGTGGAGAACAACAACTTTGAGATCAAGTTAGGACTGCTCAACACCATAGAGAACAACAAGTATTATGGTCTTGCTGCTGAAGATCCTTTTGATCACTTGGACAAGTTTGATAAGTATTGTGGCTTGTCCAAGACAAATGGTGTTTCTGAAGATGTCTTCAAGCTCAAGCTATTTCCTTTCTCTTTGAGAGACAAAGCACACCAGTGGGAGAAGACTCTTCCAAGTGACTCCATCAATACTTGGGATGAGTGCAAGAGAGTAGACAAGTTCTTCTCCACCTCCAGGACAACTAAGACCAGGAATGAAATCTCTGGATTTCAACAGAAGAATCTTGAGAGCTTTAGTGAAGCATTGGAGAGATTCAAGGGCTACTGGTCTCAATGCCCACATCATGACTTCAGCAAGGAGAGCTTGCTTAGCACCTTCTATAGAGGAACTCTACCACAGTGAAAAAACAGGCTTGACACCACCAGAAATGGTTTCTTCTTGGGAAGAACTGAGGAAGAGGCAGAGGAGCTGGTAGAGAACATGGCCAAGAGTGACTCAGTCTACAATGAGGAGCATGACAGAAGCAACATAACTGATGGTCAGCAGACAAGGAAGGAGCTGAAGTCTCTACAGGAGAAGATTGACATACTTCTCTCCGACAGAGCTAAACAAGAGCAGTTGCACTTTGTTGGTGATCCTAACCAAGAGGAGCCTGCTAAGTACAACAATGGTACTTGGTATAAGAAAGAGCTCAACTTCCAGTACAACAACTACCAGCAGAAGTCTTATTCGAACAACCATCAAGGAGGTTATCAGCCTAGGCAGAACTAGCCTCCTGGTTTCAGCAACCAAGGCACTCAGTCTACTCAAGCTCAAGGAAGATCTTCTCCAGCTCCAGATTCAGAGTCAAGT